TTTGTATACCTTATTTTGAATATTATTTTGCATTAAATGAACTTTAAGCTTATTTTAAACTTTTTTGAGTTACTTGCTTTAGGCTTTACTTTGATAACATGTACATAAATTATATATATAATATCATATAATGAGAGGTACAAACACAATTTTGAGTACATCAAAAAATTTGATCATTTATAAGGTCATTAACAATTTATGCTGAGCATGGTGGTTTAATTCTCAGCACTTGGGAGGTGGAGGTAGGCAGATCTCTGTGAGTTGGAGGCCAGTCCAGTCTACAAAGTGAGTTCTAGGACAGCTAGGGCTGTTACACAAAGAAGCCCCGTCTTGAAAAACAAACAAGCAAACAAACACAAATAAATCAGTTTACAGTAAGTTAGTAGCTCTCATAAGATGAGGACTTTATAATTTTATTTGTGCTAAGATATTTAACAGTATTTATTTGTGTTGTTCTTTAGAAATTTTGTGAAACTCTTTTACTATTAAATAAACTTTGTACTATAGATATTGTCCATAGAGAGACTGGGAACCTCATTTTTCTGATCCTTTTATAATGTACTTTCACAAAATATCACAGGTTTTTTTTTTTACTTAGTTTCTCCAAATAGCTAATAAATCTTAGCAAAGTTAGCAAAGACATAGTTATTAGACAAACATCTTTAAGTCAGATTTTGTTAGCATGACTAGACCATTATAACCATAGAAATGTATACATGGCATGCTGTAGCAAATTAAGATAACCTGTACATGGATTTTTAACTATTAACCTCTTTTGTTGTGGGTTTTATCTTAACTTTTTATAGGAATTTTAAAACCTTTTTAAACTGCCCTCATAATAGGCCTATAGATCTTGAGATAAAGTTTACATTTGAGCAAGAGCTTCAAAGATATCTGTGATCCTGAATGGGGGAGCATTTTCCTAAACACGAACCAAGAAGTGTGTGGGGGAGAGAGTATACAGGGATCTAGACAGTTTAGACATTTTAACTTTTAGATGCGAATCTCTCTTGATTAAAAATGTAAATAATATGAGATTTAACAGTAGCAAATAAATTGATCATTTGCTTTAAGAAATTTTTCTGAGGGGATGTGTTAGGCAGCATTTGGGTCCCTTAGTATATGTAACAGCTTTTTTAGAGCTTCATAGGTGGACCTCCTCCTTTTTAGTTTATATCCAGTACAGCTAGAAAACCTTGAGTTTTCATATAATTAAGGTCCTAATTGCATAAAGCCAGCTTGAAGATGTGACTGGATACTCAGGAGAAAGTCCAATAGCCTTGTCCATATCGCCCTTATTTGAAGGAATATTAGCTTTTAACTAGTTTAGCTGTAATTATTTCAAGCAGTCACAGCTGGGGTTCTGAAGGTGACAGCTGCTCATCTTAGAAGGTATTGTATAAATAAAAGGAGGTAGAATCTAAATTACACCTTAATAAAAGGAGGTAGAATCTAAATTATACACATAGAAGAGCACAGGGAATTACTATTACATATGTACAAATTGTTAAGCTAATTGGTCTTGTGAGTTTTCTGGTAAACCTTACAAAAACATAAGACAACCTCTATAAGTTATTCATCATGTAGAATTTTAAAATCATAGTATTGTTAAATTTATGTTTACATTATCTAACAGAATTTAGTTGAAGGATCCTGATTAAAACTATGATGCTGGAGATTGAGAGATTTTAGACAGAGGGTCTCTTTTATTCTTTCCATGTATGAGAATATTGTTAGCTGGCTTTATTATAGACACCTTTGTACCATGAGATAAACAATAATATCCTGTATTAGAAATAGTTAGCCTTTTAGCTGTTTTAAAGCACATAATGTCTTTTTCCTGGGATGTTCTATTGTTCTCTTCTCTCTGTCACAGAGTCAGGAGGCCAGCCTGACCCAGGGCAGAAGCTCTGGAGGAAATGGCAATAATGTATTTTGGGCTGAAGCGAGCAGGCAAAATTCTACTCCCAGAGCAAGATTTTTAGTGAAATAAAATAGCCCGTGACAATTTTTCAATATTATGCATACCCAAAGATATTTGAATTTCTATAAGACTGAACCAAATGATCTACATAACCAGTTTGTGTGTATCTGCAGAAAGGGGCAGACAGTCTGAAAAGACTTAACACGTAACTGAAAAGTAGAAACAAAATCAAGAGTACCCAAGCTTGGTGGGGCAGAAACAAAGGCAGACCAAAGACATAAAGTAAATAAGTCCCAAGAACAACAACAAAAAATCATCCTATCTCGGTTAGGAAAAGCAGTCTTGGAGACCCAGTAGAAAGAACAGGCATTAAAGGCCCAGTGTAGATTTTACTTCCAGTTTCCTTCCAAGTTTCGACTCTGGGTTTGGTAGCAAGTGTGAGCTAAGTAATAGGAATGAGAAGGGTTAAAATGATCTGGGGGGAAGGGTCACATGGTGGATAGTCCTCAAACCCTTTGCCATGTCTGTAACATGAGGGCCTGCTTGTTGGGGTTTCTGTCCTGCCCAGTTTCCACAGTCGGTAAGGTCCCAAAGAAAATCACACAGAGAATCTGCATTAGTTATAAACTGATCAGCCCATTAGCTCAGGCTTCGTATTAGCTCTTATAACTTATATTAACCCATTATTCTTATCTATGTTAGCCACATGGCTCGGTACCTTTTTTGGCAGGGTAGGTCACATCTTGATTCTTCCGTGATCTGGGCAGGACTTGGGAAAGAGCTTCCTTCTTCTCAGAATACACCTGTTCTCATTGCCGCACCTCTACTTCCTGTCTGGTTGTCATACCTATACATCCTGCCTAGCTAATGGTCAATCAGCATTTATTTAAAACATAATTGACAGAATATAGAATTGTCCTACACCACATGTCGTTTGAGAAGGCTGTCAAGGTGTACAAAACTGTCAAAATTGAAAGTTTCAAATTGGGGCCAGCAGTGGTCATCATTGAAAGAGCACTGTGGCCAGATTTGAGTAGATAACTAAATGAGTCTGGTGGTTTGGAGCTCACTAAACTGGAGCTTTTAAAACCCATTTTAAAAATTTGGTTTAAATTTTAAATGACAGGCAGAACAGGCAGAAAGTCATATCCTACTGCCTAAGGTTTAAGGAAAAAATGAAAATAAGCCTAAGAGTTGGGGGGTGTCCCCATACTCATAAAACTAGAGGAGTTCTCGATGTTTGTTAATTATGAGAGGTTCCTGGAACCTCCAAGACTTTGTGATCCAGAGAAGGAACGGGAAGTTCTCAGAGCTTCTGGGGTGTGGTCAGCACACCTCTGAATCAGACCCAGATGGAAGGTTACCTTGCCCTGTAGAATTTGTGTGTGCGGATAGCAGTGAGCAAATGGTGAAAGGCCTCTCAGCCTGAAGGTCAGAGAATGTTGGAGAAAGAAGTCAGAGGGAGGGTCAGAGGAAGATGGATGGAGATGATTCAGAGGAGAGAAGAGGATTGGGTCAACCTGGGTTTACACAGAACAACAATAAAGTCCTAAGAATTAAAATTTCGCTCCCAAGGTCCTAATGAGGAACAGAAGGAGGGAGAACATGAACAAGGAAGTCAGGACCGCGAGGGGTGTGTTCACCCACTGAGATGGTGGGACAGATCTAATGGGAGATCACCACGGCCAGTTGGAATGGGACTGATGGAGCATGCGATTAACCAGAGTCTCTGAATGTGGCTGACAGTGGAGGCTTACTGAGAAGCCAAGGACAATGGCACTGGGCTTTGATTCTACTGCATGGATGGGCTTTGTGGGAGCCTTGTCTGTTTGGATGCTCACCTTCCTGGACCTGGAGGGAATGGGGAGGACCTTGGACTTCCCAAAGGGTAGGGAACCCTGACTGCTCTTTGGACTGGAGAGGGAGGGGGAGGGGGAGGAGAGAGGGGGAGGGAAATGGGAGGAGGGGAGGAGGTGGAAATTTTTTAAATAAATAAATAAATAAATAAATAAATTGAAATTTCATTCACAAGACTTGTGGTTTCCTTCACAGGACTTGCACTACTCATGAAGGAGGGAGGACTGGTGGCTGTTCAGCCTATATATTGAATGTCTTTGTCAGTGTTCTGTTGCTATGAAGAGATACCATGACTAAGCCCACTTCTCTAAAAGAAAGCATTTAATTGAGGCTTGCATACAGTTTCAGATGATTAGTTCAACATCACTATGGTGGAAAGAGTGGCAGTACACAGGCAGACATGGTGCTGAAGAAGGAGCTGAGAGAGACCCTGCCTGATCACTGACCAAGAGAATGACGCTTGTCTTGGCAAGGGCTTTTGAAACCTCAAACATACTTCCAGTGACACACTTCCTCCAACACGGCCACACCTCCTAATCCTTTCAAATAGTGTCACTCTCTAGTGACCAAACATTCAAATCTATGAGCCTATGGGACCCATTCTTATCCAAACCATCACAGTGGGGTTATTAGGTATCTGTGCTCCTAAAGGAATGATCCCTAGGAAGAAGGGAAGGAATTTTTGCCCAGAGGGCCTGAAAAGGATCCTGGGTTTTGGCACCAGATGTAAGAAAAATGAGGCAAAGAAGCAGACAGACTTGATCTCAACAGGCTGAAACTGCTTTATTGGAACAAAAAGAGGTCCCAAACTTTCTGTGGGATGAAGGTTGAGCACATTTAGAGGTCCTGAGCGAAACACAGAAAGTTACATCTATTCTTTTCTGGTTTGATTAGAAGCAGGGTGGCTTGCTTTCTATAGTCAGACATATTGTTTCTACAGGCTGATCAGAACCATCAGGCTGGGTCCAAACAATTCTTTTTTTTTTTTTTTTTAAAGATTCTTTCTCTCTTTAATCCATTCTTCAATGAGTTCCACAACACTCCAGGGCTAGCCCGTTTCAGGAGGAGGAAGAGAGGGAGGAATGGCAGGTGGGTGACAACAGCAGTCAGGCCAAGCAGACCGTTCTGGAAGATGAAAGTCTTCTGTTCTAATACTGACCCCACCTGCCATGTGCTGCGCATACCTGATAGAGCCCAGTGCTACTAGGAAACTGAGAGCTAAATTTCATTAAGTTTTAATTAAGTTAAATTTAAATCATATGTAGCAGGGGCTCAGTACAAACTTACAACTTAGGACAACTTACAGAGGTGCTCCTGAATAGCAACACAGATTGACACTCGCTCATAAAGACTCCTTCCCACTAGGGTCCAATACAGGTGAAAACCAAAACGCAATTGCTTTCTTCACTTGGGACTGGCACCCTGATTTTTGGTGACAGTATGAGACCTTGCTCTGTACCCACATTCCATGCTCATCAAGTGAGCCTACTCTAGACGACACCATTCTGCTAGTCGTGGGGTTCTTCTTCCCTTTTTGTTCTAATGTGCACTGTTAAAAGAAGAAATGCTTCAGAAAACCATTTCAACATTGTGTGTGAATGCAAACTGCAGGGAAGGCATGGAAGGGCTGCGCATCACCACCACATGTATGTGTGTATGTGTTTGCGTGCGTGCGTGCATGCATGCATATGTGCACGCATGTGGACACAGGAGGAGGAGCTATAGAGCCAGATTTATTTCTTGAAGTTGGCAGGATTGAAAGACACAGCACAGGGACACGGGGCGTCCAGTGGGAGCTGCTCTTCCAGAGCAGACCTGCTTTGTTTTGTTTTTACTGGAAGGTTCCAGAACCTTTTCAATGGAAGTTGAATCATTCAATCAACTAACTAGGCACAGGAAAGACTTTTTTCTTGACCATTTCTTCGGGCAATTTCTTGATCATTGTTTTTTCTTCCTGTTGTCTTGTAAAGCTCTGGAGTTCAAAGTTGGGCAGAGCAGACATCTTCATGGCTGTGACACAGCGTGGCAGAGGGGACCATTCACTTCAGCCAGATCCACTTGTCACCCACCTCTTCATTGTATCCTGGGTTGTACTTGCGGCCTGGCAGCTCTCTGAAGCTGTTGTAGATTCGGGTACCCTGGTGAGCTCCAATCGTGATTTCTGGAAGGTAGATAGGAACAGTCGTGTAATTCAGCACATCCATCTTATCCTGAACCAGCATCCGTAGGTTGTGAAAGGTACGGTCATCCTGTTCAAGCCATGGCCCTTTGTTGTAGTTAAGGTATTCTATGTCCTCTACCACCTTGGTTGAGTCTTCAGATTCCCAGGTACTGTACACCAAAACCTCACATTGCTCACTCATCTTTGGGAGGAAGGTGTTCTTGTAGGCATTCTCGATGTCCTGGAGATAGGCAGAGGTGATCTTCATTTCATGTGGATCTCCTTTCTTCTGGATCCGGCTCTGTATCTCTGGTACGGGCACATCAATATAAACGACTACGTGGGGTGGCAGGTACTCTGGAAGAGTGAGCCGTTTTACTTCATTGTAGTGGTCCACACACTCCTTTCGGATGAAGCCCTGGTTGTACATTGCCTCCAGGAAGACAAAGTCACTGTAGATGGAACGCTCCAAGACCACACCTTGTCCTGTGCTCAACAGGTGTTCTAGGGCGTCTGAGTACTGTAGGAGGCGGCTGGCATACAGCCAGGACTGCAGGCGGTAGCTGTTGCCATCATTGCTTTTGGGATTATCATAAAATTTCTCTAAGCTACAGTTGCCACTAAATTCCGTGTCGAGGGGCCTTCCATCGCCTGTGGTGCTGCTTGAGTACTGGATGCCTGCTTCTGGAAAGTGCTTCATGCCTAGCTTCTCTGCGATCTCCTTTGCGAGTTTGTTCTTCCCGGAGCATATATTCCCGTCTACTGTTATCACTCGGCTGTACTCATTCAGTTTTTTGGTTGTCTTATCACCAAGAACGAAGGCAAGAGGTCCGTACTTCAGCTGGCATTGCACACTGGTATGAATCTGTCCCACGCGCTGGGCTCCGGCCGCGAGGCCCCGCGCGGACGCTGACACCGGGAGAAGTCTCAGCAGCCTCAAGGCCATTGCTCTGCCGTCCGCCGCCGGCTCAAGGACCAGACGGACGCGAGCGCGACGGGGTCCTAGGTTGTCTGCGGCCTCCAAACAATTCTTTATGGCTAGAAGATATTGCCCAGTACAGCCTGACTAGATTCCTTATGACCTGAGGCTATTACCCAACACAGTCAAGTCAAAATACTCCCAGGAAATATAAGAAGCAAAACAGAAGAAAAGAAAAAATATTGTTCACCTACCATAGAAAAAGTTCACATTCTAGTTTCATTGTTGCCATGATGAAACACTCTGACCAAAAGCAACTTGAGGGTGGGGAGGCTTTATTTCAACTCAAGTCACGATGCACCATTGAGGCAAGTCAGGGCAGGAACTGAAGTAGAAGCTATGGAGGAACACTGCTTATTGGTTTATTTTCTCACTTACTCAGTTAGCTTTCTTATATGCCCAGGGCCTCCTGCCTAGAGATGGCACCACCCACAGTGGGCTGGACCCTCCCACCTCAATCATCAGCCAAGACCATTTCTTTTTGATGTGGTCACAGGCCAATCTAATCTTGGCAATTCCTCAAACAAAACTGAAGCAAACTCAGATACTGCATAAGCAAATGGAAAAAGCACATAAAGTATGTGAAGGGAAATAAATGAAAGCCTGAAAAACTTATAAAATGCAGTGTAGGGGCAAAGGGGAACAAGGGAATCATATGAGTGAAAAGAAAAGATGAGCATCTTCTTTCTGTGTCTTTGAATGTTGGATACTTCCAGTTATCCTGGGAATTGGGGATAGTCAGTTAAACTGTGGTTTATGCTGTTGTGGAGTGTGCATTGCATGAGTGTCTGATGTCTGGTCCAACAGCAATGATGGCCAGGTGGGTGGCTCCAGATTTTGTTCCACTCTACAGCCTCAGGATCAGAGCTTTCAAATTCCATAACTATTTGCAGTTGATGAGATCTGTTCCCCTGCTCTTCATAACTGCCTCTCTGAGATTCCCCTCACCCAGGGTCTGTCCAGGCCAACTTGAGGCTCCCTCACTCTTAGATGATCCCCCATCTCAGCCTCCATCCCCACTAGGGGGTAGCACAGTTTTGAATAATAGGCTCTCCCTTAATATGGTTCCTGGCCACTGCCCTCAAAGTCATATTTGACTTGGTATTTCTTTCCACCACTCACTCATCTGCCAGATGACCCACTCTTAAAAGAATCTGCTAGTATACTTGAGGCTTGTGAGGATTATAGACTTCTCCTGAGGGTAGGGCTGCCTAGATTCTGTCTGTCTTTTGTAGGTGGCTGCTCTTTCCCCTCTGTCTACCAGCTTATTTCCCTGGGTCATACCATATTTTTCTGTTCTTTTCCTGTTCCCTTTCACTTCCTTTGTGGATTTACAAAGCTCTTCCTCTTATTTCTCTAATAACAAGTGTATTTATTCTTAGAGATCATATGGGTCACCCTTCCTTGTTTACTGTAATTGGGAGGCAGGTATCTGTATATACTATTAGGTAATCCATAATACTCATGAACCTTGCTAATTTCATCAGGAATTCAAAAAGAACTCTTATAGAATTTGATGTAAGAAATATATTTTAGAAACTCATGGGGAAAGATGATTTTGCTTTCTGATTTTGTGGAGGTTCTATTTTGGAGATGATGGATTATATTTGCACAAATCTGTTCAATTGTATACAGCACCTGCTCTGGTAGAAGCATGGGATGTGGGGGTTTGGGATGACGAGACAGCAGAAAACAATTCCTAAGCTCAATGGTTAAGGATGAGAAAGAGTTGGTAATGGACATGGGAAGAAATGGGTATGTAAATGGTATGGGGAAGAAATGCGTTATAAATCTCTAACTGTGCCTTCATAAGGAATGAGTGATGTTTAATTTTCTATAGACCTTTGTTGGAATGAGTGTTTAAACATATTGCCTATGTATAATTTTCCAGGACATTAAATAAAGCTATATAAATCTCAAAAAGGTGTATTTATTCTTACACTAGTTCTCTCCTTTACCAGCTCACATAGAGGCAGTCTCCAGCCTGCCATCTTATCTCAAATTTTCTCTATTTGTCATTGATCATACTGTTTCCCTAGAATGCTCTGGAAAAAGCCATCCGTGAACTCTATGATGGCATAGATGCAGCAGGGTTTCCTGGGAGGGTTTCATTCTTGTCTGAGATTCTCTGACTACATCCTAAGCAGATCTTCGGGTAGTCCCCAGCATGAAACCCACACGGAAGACCTGTGGCCTGTAATAATATATCCGAGTCATTGGAATTCTCAGTTACATTAAGAACTCAACAGATAGGGCTGAGGCTGGGGCTCAGTGGTAAATCTTATGGAAGGCTTTGGGTTTAGTGCCAGGCACCACTTTTTAAATTATATAAACAAATAAAAACTCTCAACAGGCAATTTCTAACAACATATTGTAAAGCCAGTTATCTGGAAAAGCAGAGATGATCATTCAGAAGAGAGATTCTGGGATATGCGTAAAACAAAGGTTATCAGGATTTTATTTTTAATATAAATTTCTAGTACTATTGGTCATTCTATCAAAGCACATAAATGAGTTTGGCAACATATTACCATAGGATCAAAATACAATTCAATATACATATTAAATATGCCTACCCAACTGAGCCCTACACAGCAATGGATACAAATCTGAGCCTTCTTTAATTTTCAAAATATTATCGCTCTAGGTTTCATGAAGGCATCTGCTCACTGTTTTGCTAACCTTGAAAACAAAGCATTAGAAAGAGTTGTACCAAGAAATGCAAAGTCATATGTTTTAGTCACAAATGTAGGGTTTTAACATCAAAACCGTGATTTTAGCAATGTAGAGAGTAGCAAGGACAGCATAGTTTTGAAAATATACACTTAGTTCAAAGTATTTTCCTTCTTTCTTTTTTAAAGAAGTCTCCCCAGAATATCAGTAAATGAACAAAATCTTTTCTTTTTAAAGATGGGCTTCATATGTCTGATTTGTGGGTTTTGTTAATAAACATAGATCAATTTCTTCTGCTGCAGTCCAGGCTTTCTTAAGTGGCATGTGAGATAACATTCAGGCTGGCCAAATGACGATCTCTATGGACAGTGTTCCTAAAACTAGTTTATGGGAGGGAGAGCTGAGGTGATGCACATCTGAGTTTAAGAAACACAAGGATACATTCCATTTTTACCCGTCTTGCTTTCAAATGCAATTTTGAACTTTGTATTAGTTTTCTGTTGATTCTGTTTTCTTTGATTAGTTTGTATCTGTTGCTGAAATAGCATACTCTGATCAGAAGCACCTTGTGGAGGAAAGGGTTTATTTGGTGTACACATCTGTCTTATTGCTGTGAAGAGACACCATGACGATGGCAACCCTTATAAAGGAAAACATTTAATTGGCGCTGGCTTCCAATTCAAAGTTTTAGTCCATTATTGTCATGGCAAGAAGCACTGCACCATGCCAGCAGACATGGTGCTGGAGAAGTAGCTGAGATTTCTACATCTGGATCTTCAGGCAGAAAAAAAAAATTAGCCACATTAGGCCTGGCTTGAGTGAGCATTTGAGACCTCAAAGCCTGTTCCCAATGACACACTTCCTCTAACAAAGTCATGCCTACTCCAACAAGGACACACCTCCAAATAGTACCATTTCCTATGGCCAAGCATTCAAACACATGAGTCTATGGGGTCATTCCTAGTCAAACCACCACAATATCCCAATCACAGTCCATCATTGAGTGATACCAAGACAGGAACTCAAGAAATGAAGGAGCCTGGAGACAGAAACTAAAGCAGAAATTATGGAGGAATGCTACTTAATGCCTTGCTCCTCATGGGGTTTTAAGGTTACTTTCTTCTATCACTCAGGACCACGTGCTCAGAGGTGGCACCACCAACAGTGGGCTGGATCCTCCCACACCAATCATAATAAAGCAAATGTCTCACAGACATGCCCATAGGACAGTGATTCTCAACAATGTGGGTCACAACCCCTTTGGAGTCAAACGACCCTTTCATGGGGGTTGCATCCTGCATATCAGATATTTACATTATGATTCATAACAGTAGCAAAATTACAGTTTGAAGTAGCAACAAAAATAATTTTATGGTTGGGGGTCACCACAGCATGAGGAACTGTATTAAGGGGTCACCGCATTAGGAGGACTGAGGACCACTGCTATAGGACAATATGATAGAGGCAAGTCCTCAACTGAGATTCCTTCTTCCCAGATAAATCTGTTTGTGTCAAACTGACAAAAACTAACCAACACAGCTTCCATAGCCTTAGTTTTTGCTGTCAGTTTTTTTCTTATTAATGATAAGTGCTTTCTCTTCAGATAGCTATGTTTGAGATATTTATTCCACAGCCATATTTAAAACAATCTCCAGGATTCAGTCTGCTCATTCTGCATTGTCTCTTTTCCCACTTGTTAGCCAGGCAGGCAGAGAGAAAAGACTTCACAGGTGGGAAGGCAGCTGAATACTGTTGTCATGGAAACCACTCTGTTTCTCAACCCCAATGGGTCACTAGCTCAGTTAGAAGACTGTAGAGTGAGACAATAGTCCTCCCCACTCTGATTTCTTCCTGGGAAAAGAGGTTGAAGTTGAGAGCTGAGGTTGGTTTCCAGGGAGATCAAAGACAGGTATTTGAGATTCATGAAGAGAAAATTACATGAAATTTAGTGCACAAGATTGATAATAGGAATCTATCTATAGATATTGGAATTGCAAGCTGATAGTTGCATTCATATAGAATACCTGTTCCTGATGCATGTGCATATGAAAACAAGAATACACACACACACACACACACACACACACACACACACATACACACACACACTGTGGAAACTCACCAGCATGCTTTCTGTTCATATGTGCACAGTGACTCATCTCACTAGAGCCATAACATGTGAAATAGCAGGCAGTGAAGCAGAATAAGCAGGCAGGACCCATAACAAGGCAAGGGAGTGTTCCTTATTGTTGGGGGATGGTGGCAAAAAATAATTATATACCCTTTCCTCCACAACTTTCACATGTCCATTTACATTTAAAAATGGCTTTAG